CCTTTTCAGCTCACCTGAGCACCTGTCATGCACTCATAAATAAAGATGCCTCATGAAAACATGGTCAGTGTGAGCAGGAGCATGTCCACCTTGGGCAAAGAGGGCACTAAAGGGGCTTCTTCAAATCCAGGAGCACCCACACCCACACCCACATAGATTCTGACACGCTCCCCTGGGGGATGCTCTCCTAACCACCACATTGAGAATCACCATCCGGAGCCAATTGCCCCTTTGAAATATCTCCTTCAATCCAGTATCTCTGTCCCTGAATTTTGGACAGAGATAAACAGAGGGGTGTGGGGGGAGTGACTGGTGAATAAGGGGCCAGAGGTTTGCTTCCACCTCCTGCCAATGCCTGGGGAAGGTGGGCGCTGCAACAGCGAGAGGCCAGAAGCCCTTTCCCCTCCCCCTCTTCCTTCCCTCCCTCTCTCCCACACACCGTGTGGCATTTCACTGTGGGAAGCAGAGTGAAGACGAGCTTGATTTGGTAGTAGATCCATCTTAGTTTTTCATTCTGCGTGGTTTCTTTTTCCTTCAGTTTTTCTCTGCAAACACTGGGGCAGAGTGGGGTTGGGTTGGTGATGGTGGTTGAGGTGAAGAGGGGAGCTCTTAACTTCCAGACTGTAATACTCACCTTCCCTTTGCTTTGAGGAGGAAAGTCCAACCTGGTGTGGTTAGATTGGGGATGCTTATGTTTAATCTGTACCCAAATCCCCTGGGAATCTTGTTAAAATGACTCAGTAGGTCTAGGATGGGCCTATGGTCTCCATTGCCAACAAGCTCCCAGATGCTGCTGTTATTAGGGAAACACTTGGAATAGTGGAGCCTTAGGAGAGAAGAGGTTTGCTTGCCCCTAATTTCTGTTTGTTAATTATTGGACTCACCAAGCCCATGGTTCTCAGTCACCTGGGGGACCCTTCCCCACCCGCGTTGCACTGTCGGTGGTCCTCTTCTTCTTGAGCACTTTCACGGGATCAGGTGAGCCTGAAATCTGTTTCATTCTTCATCCTGAAAACAGAAGCGGGGGGAACTCCTACTTGTCCAGGAAGCGCCCAGTTTCTTTTCTGATGGAATTTAAGGGGATTTTACTACTTGTCCGTTACTGCCCTAGGGAAGCTGTAGTAGCAAAGGCTGTCTAGCAAGTGCCACAGAACTTAAGCGAACAAGCATGTATCATCTCTCAGTTTCTGTGGGCCAGGGGCTCTGGAAAGGCTTCGCTGGCGGGTTCTGGCGCAGGGTCTCAGGGGACTGCAGGCATCTGAAGGCCTGACTGGAGGATTCACTTGCAGGACGGTTACTCACGGCTGTTGGCAGAAAGTGTGCGTCCCTGGCGAGCTGTTGGCAAAGGCCTCAGCTCCTCGCTACAGGGACCTCTCTAAAGGGCTGTTAAGCATCTTCAGGCAAGAGGAGAGGTCCAGGAGGAAGAGAGAAAGGGAGGAAGGAGCCGTGGCTCCGTGACCTCGTCTCGGATGTCAGATCTACCGCTCCTGCTCTGTTGTTTGTCAGGCGCAAGTCACTAAGTCCAGCCCACACTCAGAGGGAGGGAGTTAAATTCTACCTCTGGAGATGAGGAGTAGCAAAGAATTTACAGACATACTAGTATGTTTAAATGCCCCCCCCCCCGGCCCCCGGCCAGGAAACCACTGTGGGGGTTTAAACATATGTCCATAAGAGTTTGCTGCCCTGGCTCTTGCTCCTCCTGGGGTACCAGTGAAGTTATGAACATTGCAGACCCCACTCCTTGGAAAGACATCTTCATAATGGAAGTCAGCAATTGCATTCCGCTGGGACAGGGTGCACCAGCTGCTTGTGAAACTAGGGAGCCGTGAGAGTGCAAGGAGTACAACATAGTGACGAAGAGCCAGCCTCAGGAGCCTGACAGTCCGGAATTTGAATCCTGGCTCTGCCTCTTAACCGTGTGTGCCCATGTGGAAATCACATGAGCCTCACTGTCTTTTTCTTAAAAGGGGGAAGGGGGTGGGGCGGGGGATAATAATAGTACCTGCCTCAAAGTGTCAGGTGAGGGTTAGTGAGATGGTGCATGTAAAGGGCGTCCCCACTGGGCCGGCAGACCGTGAGCGCTCAGGACACGGCAGGTGCTGTTAGCTGTTGCTCTGAAATCCTCCCGCCTGAGGCGAGAGCTTCGTGGCCGTGAAGCAGTGTTAGCCACTAGTTTCCACGCTTCCTTCAGTCGGCCTCTTCTCACCCCTCATTTAATTCCGACACATCAGGCTGGCCTCTGCCGATGATGAGGCTGCTGCACAGGCCCACGGTTCTCCCGATGCGCCAAGGCCGCCAGGGCCGAGCTCTCTGGGCGCGCCCCTCACCCCTCACCACTTCTGAGGAAGGCACATCAGCCAGAGTCTGAGGCCGAGAGAGGCCCAGGCGGCCCCTCTCCTCCGACATAGGTTCCCTTTTGGGGAGGAGTTGATCTGGGCTGGCTCCTCCGCGGCCCAGCGCTGGGCGGGCAGTGTTTTTACCAGGGAGTGCCATTTCTGTTGTGAGCTACGGAAAGAGGCTGACAGGTTGTTTTGAACTGAACCTCAAATCAGTTCAGCGCAAAGCACTTGAAAGCGTCTTCAGGGAAATGGAAATTGTATTTGTTCTGTGGTATGTTTTGAGATTTTTTTTTTTTAATGTAGTAAAAGTGTCCTGACAGAGCTGCTGTCTTTACAGCAATCAAAGAGATTCTTACCATGCAGCCATGTTTTCTCTCCAGGTACTTGGTCTTCCTGCAGATCAAAAGGGATCTCTACCACGGCCGCCTCCTCTGCAAAACGTCCGATGCCGCCTTGTTAGCGGCGTATATCCTTCAAGGTAATGACTTTTGACAGGACAAATTCGCTTTTCATGCTAAGTGCAGATTACATTATTTCCGTTCCCACAGATGACTACTTCTTGGGTACACACAGCCATATCTAACTTGAAGCAGAGAATTCGAGGGCTTTGCCGCGAGTCCCTAGACCGAGAAGGCTCTGACCGCCGAGCCCGATGCTGGGCCCGAGCGAGGTCTTTGTGCCAGCCCTGCCAGTCATTCGCACGGTGTTGGGGTGTTTTCCCTGCACCCCTGGGTGATAAGGTTACCAAGACCGGAGAGTCATCTGAATCCACGTTTCCTTTCATGTGAATCTCAAAGAAGTGAAACACCTTGGCGTTCTGGCGCCTATTTCGGAGCCCGTTCTGTTCAGAGTGCTCAAAGTTGAAAATGTTTCCACGTAACAAACACATTTCCTAACATGCTGATAAGTAGAGTTGAATCTGTACTCAGCTGGTGCCCAGACTGGCTTTTTTTTTTTTCCTTCCGTTTTTTTGTTTTGTTTTGTTTTTGCAAAAACAGTGGGAAAGGTAAGCACTCTTCACATATAATCCCTCTCCTCTCATGAAATGCAAGGGACTTCTAAGTGCCACTTCCTAGACTTATTTTAGTCCTTACGCCTGACACTGTCACTGGGCTGTTGTGGACCATAGCACTAAGGTCGTGAAGTTTCCATCAAAGCATCTGAACGCTTAATTGGAAATCTGTGAACTCTGGAAGGCTACTTTATGAAAAGAACCTGGAAAATCCTTGCCAATAGAAACTAAAATTCGTCTGGCAAGAGAAATATCCGAGCTGCGTGAAGAATGTCAAAGTCGGCCCATTACACCTTGGCATGCTGAGACTCCTATTTTTAACCATCGCCTAAACTGGAAGGTCTTCCCAACCCTAAGGTCCCCAAAGAGGCCCCTTTCATTTTAAAGGCGAACCCGGTTCCATCTACGGGCAGTTTTAAACTCGAGTCTTTCCTTCAGTTTTCCCTGACAACCATATTGAATGTTTCCGTTTCTTTCCTTTAAGGAAATGGTGTCCAACACTGATGTTTCCCATTTAGAGCTTCCTAAACAAGGTCATAATAAATGACCCCACGGCTCGAAGTCCCTCTGGATGTCAGGCCCAGAGAAGCCTTTAGGCTCTTGCTCAAAAATAGAAATCCCCACGTATTTGGAAGGATAATACGCAACTGTGAGAGGAGGGCTCATTTCCCCCTGATAGTGACTCATCCCTCCATCCTTCTCAGCACTGGTTGTGGTTCTCACGAGGGAAGGAGGAAGGGGAACCACAGCAGCTAGAACTTCTTAACATCCTTCCTCCTCACATCTTCACCACATTCCTGTGGAAAGAGCTGGGATCTCACCTCGGAACACACTGGAGAGCACGTGGGCCCACCCACCGCCACCCCTGCCCCCAAAGATCTCAAAGATCTGACAGCTTAGCAGCTTGAGGATGGACTCCCGGACGAAGCCCCCCGCCTGCAGGGAGCTGAGAAGCCAGCCCGGGCACCGGTGGTGCGGATCTCAAGGGCACTTTCTCGTTACAGCCAGAATCCCCTCCTCCGCAGTCCTCTCCAGGGGACCTGGCACCTGCTCAGCTCTCTGAATATTTATTCAAATTTATTCACTTGATTTCATGTCATTCGGACTGAAAGTTGAGTTCTGAGTCTGGGTCAGGGCTCATTCATCCATTTGCTGTGTCCCTACTCAAATCCTCAGAGCGGGATTTCTGACCTGACTCTGGCCCAAGAGGTTCTGTCTTCCTGATCAAGCTCACAGTGTCCTGTGTTGACACAAAGAGCATTGCTCCTAAGCCCTTGTCTCCTCACCAAATGGAGGAGGGCCGTGGTGTAGACCTCTGCTCTTTCATTGCAAATTCACTTGTGGTGCCCTCCTGAACACGGGCTCAGCTCTACCATCTCCCTGCTTAGACTTGGCGTCAGCCCAGTGTGCACACCTGGGAGAACAAACGCGGACATGCTCTTGAGGGGCATGCCCTCCGCCCGCCCCACAGCCACGCTCAAGGGCCGCTGTTCCGTGTAAGTCTGGTGCGTGCGCTGACTTTGCTCTGTGTGTTCGTCTTTTGTTGCTTTGCCAATGCTCACAGTTGTCTTCCTCTGCTTTCCTTTTGCCAGCGGAGATTGGAGATTATGACCCAGGAAAACACCCTGAAGGCTACAGCTCCAAATTCCAGTTTTTCCCTAAACATTCAGAGAAGCTGGAAAGGAAAATTGCTGAGATTCACAGGACAGAACTCAGGTGAGTGACACTCCGTTCCAGCCCAGGACTCTGACCTTCCTGACTCTGGATGTGCCACTTCCGGTGACCCACTGACAGCTCGGCCCCACGCCCTGTGGGCTCACCTCCACGAAGAGTGGTGTAGGCTGAGACGCAAAGGCAAGAGAAAGACGCTGCGTAGTAAGGAAAACAGGGAGATTGGCTCACAGGTATTTGCTTCACCGAGAAAAATGAAGAGACAGAGGTCAAAAGCATGAACTGGCAAAAAGGAAAAAAAAACTGTAAGGGAAACAGCAGAAGAAGAAAAGATTAGAGGAGTTGCGTGGGAATGTGAAAAACGAGTGAGCCTCTGGCCTCAGTCGGAGACCGTGTTACAGGGGCTCCGGGTCAGTGGGTGGGCGGCACCAGGCAATGCCGTGGGTGCTCTGAGAGCCCTCGGTCAGAAACCGCATCTTCAGCACTGCCGCTTCCACCTTCGCAGAGGGGAGGAGGAGAGAAGCAGCTGGAAGCAGGAGCGTGTGCTCCTCAGGTTCTTAATTAACCCAGGATATTCCTGATTTCATCAAATAGCATTAATGCATCCATCCTTTCACCCATATGAAGTAGGATTTCCTACAAAGATTGGTCACACACACACACACACACACAGTGTTGGGCTCCACTGCATGTGGCACGCTGGAGCACGGGCTCTCCCAACAGATAAACCATGAAGAAAACCGTGATGTACAATGGATTGTTGTAAAATAAAACGTGCCATTACATCAATACATTATGCTTTTTTAAAATCTTAAAAATATATGTGTGTAACTGCCTTCCTGGGGGAGAAAAACGCCCAAGTGGGGGTAAACGATAGCTAATGATAATATTAAGTCTAAACTAGTCCCTACCCTGATCCCCTGGACCCATAAACACAAAGAACAAATCTTCACCTTCAATCAAAGATTTTACTGACATACATGTCCTCACAGCCTCCTTCACCTTTATAAACAGGCCGCCTGCCCACCGTGCGGGGCAGGACCGGTTCCCCACCCTCCCAGCGGAATGGAGACACCTGTCAAAGGTGGGATCCCAGCAGCTTCCCACCTCTCTCCCTGGGCAGGCCTGGCTCCACCGGGCTCCTCCCATCACTGTTAGGGAAATAGCGGCCCCTTGTGGCAAAGGTTGGGATGCACATGGCCTGTGTGAGGGCTCAGTGTGTGTTCAGAGGAGATAGCAGGGTGTGCTGGGACTCCCTTCGAGGCTGTCACGAGGGTTTGGGGTGTCAGAGCAGTGGGAACAGCCCTTTGGAAACCTGTAGGAAGTGGGAGATTCCCAGGAAACGGTGCTGCTCTGCGGACCCGAGCGGTTTGGGCCAACTCCAGCGATGATTGGAGCTACGCAGCCCAGCCCTCGGCTTGCTGCACGAGTGTTTCCCGGACACCTTTCCGTGCCTCAGCACATGGGTGGATGTAGAAGTCTGCAGTAAACGTACTTCTTACACAGGTTCAGCTCCTGCCTCACACTGTAAAATGGGCCTGTGTTTCCTTTCTCCAGCTCTAACATGAGTTCCTCAAGGGCCCAGACGACGCTAAAGGTCTTGGTATATTTTACAGCAGGCAGCACAGAGGCTGGCACTGAAGGTGCCGATTGATTGTCGCCTCTCCAGAGGGACACCCTGGCCTCCTCCCGCCGTGAGTGGCTGGTCTCTGCCCTTCACACATTGCCCAGCCCTCCTCACACCGAAGCCACCCCCACGTCGGTAGAAGTACGTCTGCTTTGCCAGGGCTCGGGGCCCTGAGAGAGCCTGACGACGGAATATGCCACCGGCCTGTGTTGAACTCAGATGAGGGGGAATGAAGATGCTAGGCAGGGGTCCTCAAACTACGGCCTGCGGGCCACATGCAAATACAAATATTCTATTCCCGTTTTGTTTTTTTACTTCAAAATAAGATATGTGCAGTGTGCATAGGAATTTGTTCATAGTTTTTTTTTAAGCTATAGTCCGGCCCTCCAACGGTCTGAGGGACAGTGAACTGGCCCCATTTAAAAAGTTTGAGGACCCCTGTGCTAGAGGCCCCTTCTTCATATGGCTTGTGCCAGGCCTGGTTTCTTCCTTTTGCTGCTTGTTTCCTTTTCACAGTCATCACCCCGTGGACAGCAGAGCCGCAGTGGAGCCTGGGGAGCTCAGCACTGTCTCCTGCTGCGTCCCGTCACCCTCCATTCCCATGGGCCTCTTGGTAAAGGAAGCGGGTGAGGCAGCACAGAAGATACCCAGGCCCCTTGTTTGCATGTCAGCCTAGATCAGATCCCAGATGAGAAACCCATGCCTGCAGCCAGCCTACAGATGTGTTTTGTCTGCTGCCGTAGTGTTTAAAATCACGAAATTCCACACAAAAAAATCAGTCTCTCTGACTTCTCATTAGAAATCACATCTAGCCGAGCTGGGCCCTGCATTCCCACAGGACTGCAGTCTTGGAGCAGAGAAGCAGCTCCCCTCCTTAGCTGGGGTTGCACTCCCCAGTTTGCCACAGTCCCCATCGCTCCCTACTGTGTTCCACTCAGCCCATGTCATTCATTATGGAGCCTGCCTCTCCCCGAAGACGTGTGGGGTTTTGACCCTGGACTGAAATCTCTAAAGTTGGTCCTAGGACAGAGCAGGGAGTGCACTTTGGAAAAATTGTGGTATGAGACTCATCCTGAGCACTCGGTAATAATTTGCCTCGGGGGCAGCGATGGAAACAGGAAACCCTGAAACCATCTTTTTCTTTATTCCAGTGGCCAAACACCAGCAACATCAGAGCTGAACTTCTTAAGAAAAGCGCAGACACTGGAGACCTACGGAGTGGACCCTCACCCGTGTAAGGTAGGGTCCCCACGGGGGCGGGGGGAGGTCGCACTTGCCTCCTAGAGAGGGCAGCAGGCAGGGAGAGCCCACGTGCCCACACCCCCACCCCCTCCACCCCTGCAGTAGCTGGGTGACTCACTTTTAGTGACAGATGCCAGAGAAAATGTCTTGTTTTTGAAAACTCCTCTGGATTCCACGCTGCGTCATTTGGTGCTGCCACGTCAATGTCAGAGGGTTGGAGGCCAAGTCCATCTAAATAACAAATCTGAACCGGGGGGCCCAGTGTGGCAGCTGGGGGTAATTTGGTGGAAATGAAGAGAGGAGGAATGTGGAAGGCCCGCCACAGGGGGCGATTGAGCCGGCTCAGCGGACTGCCCACCCTTCCCCGGCCCGGTAATCTTGTTTCCTTCCAAGAGCGGGTTTTATTGACTGCAGCCATGTAAGTCGCTGTCGGAGCTGCAGTGGAGTCACATTTAATTCCATTATGCGCCTCTCAGGGCAAGACGGGGACAGCCAGGGAGGCCCTGCCCAGAGAAACCTCTGTAATTACTCACATGTGTCTGGCGTTTGGGCGATGAGCTCAGGCAGCCGCAGTCACTGCGGAGAGCAGCGGGGCCCGCGGCTTCCCTGGACTCTGTGGCCGTGTCCCTCCACTTCATCCCCGTACCCCACTTGCCTTGACACGCCTGTCTCTGCCTCAGTTTCTTCCAGTGTTTGCCTCTGTCTTTTCACCACTGGGCAGACCCCTGTACCACCAGTAAGACTGATCCTCGGACTGACCTGAGGGAGACCGTCTCCCATGGGAGCGGGAGGACAGTGACGCCTCCTGTTTCCCGATGGTGAGGGGACGGCATAAGCTTCCAGCAAACATTAAGAGAATGGAAACCAAGGACCCAGTGCTGTGGGGGCAGGGCTGTGCTTCCCTTGGCCTCTTGGTGAGAGGACGGTGATTTGTTCTTGCAGAGGATTTAACGTTGAAACTTCCCATGTGAACTCTGACAACATTCTAAGTTCCCGCCCCCGCATCCCCCATCCACCAGCACGGCCTCCGCCAGATAACCCTGTGTTCTCGGGGGCCAGCGCTGTCAGAAGACACATTGATGCCTCTTTGTGCCAAAAAAATTGGCATATGGGTGTTTACAGTGAATTAGCACCGCTTTGTAAGTACTGCCTCTGCGTGACTGCTGTAGTCCAACCTGCAGTCATGGCTCAGGCGCTGTCAGCAGAGGAGCCCGCACAGGGCTGAGGGGGCCTCAGAGCCAGCCGGCCTCAGAGCCAGCCGGCCTCGGCTCCAGTTCTGCTCTCCTGCGTCCTGCAGCCTTTCGAGGCTTCTCCGAGCCTCACTTTCCTCATCTGTACACAGTGGGCACTCAATAACTGCACTCCTCCCTGAACTGCTGAGTCACTTCATGACCTCCAAAGACACAGCTGCCTAAAGATAGGCACAGTCATCAGGAGGTGCCAGGCACCTCTCTTTGACTCCAAATCTGCCCTGTTCCCTTGAGGCCACACAGAGTGCCCACCTCTTCAGAGACGGGTCCCTGGGCAGGGCTGCCACCTGACGGCACCTGGTGGGCCGTGGACCTGGGCACAGCTGAGTGCCTGTGGGGCTCCTGGCTCAGTCCTGGCTCTGATGAGTGTGTCCTTCTCGGACACAGGCTGAAGGGACTGCAGGAAGGAAGGGAGGGACATTTGTGACACCTTCCATGGCAGGCCCACAGGAATCCTTTCACATTATTTTCTATTTCCTCTTCGTGCCAGCCCTGGGAGATGGGTATTATTCTTCCTGGTTTACAGATGAGAATATCAAGTGCCAAGAAACCACAATTTACAAGGCCCCGAGAGGTAGAGCAAGAAGTTGAGCTGAAGCCCTTCCCATGCTGTGTCTTCCTCTGGGGACGGGTGGGAGCGCTCAGCACGGGGCTTCCAGTCCCTTGTTCAGGGCCCTACGCTTCTTGCTCAGCCAGGGCCCTGCTGCAGACCCGCACGGGCCCCTCGATGCATCTCATCACTGGGCTGCGGCTCAGGATTTCCTCAGCGTTTTGAGCAAGAACAGTTTGGGAGCCTTCGCTCTTGTCACTACGTAGAGCCACTCTGGTGATATGCTACCAAGCGCTCGCCTTGGTATTGCTACAAGGAGAGCTGAAATAAGCTGGAGCGCTCGGGGTAATAAATACTGATGATTCCTATTAACAGAGAGGCTATTACTGGGCCCAGGGAATCTGGGGCACGTAGCCCTGGGGAGGACAGAAGAAGAGGAATCGTTTTGATAATTAAATGGGAGCAGAACAACACTTTGGCTGGGCTCTGTCTCCTGGACTGATTAAGAAGCTGCTGCTCTTCCTGTCCATGCGGACGGTTTCTTTCTGCCCACATGTCCTCGTCTGGCCCTGGGACCAGGAAGAGGAGATCCTGCCAAATCTGGGTGGGACAGGCGGAGGGCTCCGGTAGCTGCTGGCTTAGATAATGCCGAACGCTGCACATTCACAAGCTGCCCGAGCTCTGTGTAGGAGCCCCCGCAGGCCACGCCTGTAGCTGCCGGACGAGGACAGTGTTGCACCTGTTCCCTAGCCTGACACCTCTCCAAGCCCAGGAGCCACCATCCTGTCCTTCCAGGGGCCCCGTGACAGGCTGTTTCCCCTGGGTCCCCGCAGGCCTGGAATGTGCCTCCCACCGTTAAGGTTTGTGGAGTGCTCAGACCCGTCCCAGATACCCAGCCTGTACCCAGCCTTATCATGAGTTATAAAGGGGCCATTCAGTGAACGAACGTGCCAGGCACTCGTGTGCACTATCTCACTTAGTCTTTTCAGTCACACTGCCAAGATGTCCTTGCTCTCTTGTGAAGCTAAGAATACCCCTGAGGGACTAGCATGTGCAGTTACTGGTACAGACGGTACTGGGACTCGAACCCAGAGCTGTCTGTGTCTCAGTGCTGTGCTTTCAGGTATCACTCGTGGTCTTCCTTCTGGAGAGACGGCATTTATTTAGGAACCAAGCAGGACTCTCTGCCGATGGTGGTAGAGAAGGCAAAGACCTACGAAACGACTGAGCTCAAAAAATTTAACCTAAGTTCACCAAGTGGCTTTATGTCTGTTCTGACAGATCAGGAAAAACA